CTTCCTGGTAGAGGGTAGACTCACTTCCTGGTAGAGGGTAGACTCACTTCCTGGTAGAGGGTAGACTCACTTCCTGGTAGGTAGAGGGTAGAGTCACTTCCTGGTAGAGGGTAGACTAATGCCCTGTTCGAATTCATGGGCTGCGTCCTTAGAAGGCCAGATTCGAAGGACGATTACGTCATAGCGCGGCGCTGAGGTCTGGTCGGATTCCAAGACTCCTCGTTATGCGGCCTTAAAATGCGTCCTTCTTTTAGCCCGATTTGAAGGACGGGTCTGATGTGGAAGTGACTCTATCCTCTATGGATGGATTTTATTAAGTATTTTAGGATTTTTAAGGATTGCTCTCTGATAATGAGTGTTATGAATTATAGAGGAAAACGTGTTGTAATGTGGTTTACAAAAGAGAGTAAAGGTAATATTTTTTTTTTTTTTTAGTAGTTCTATGTTAAGTTTTATTTATTTTCATTGTCAAGACTTTTTTGTGAAATCGTTGCGAGTGGTTCATTTATGTTGTGTCTAACTAAAGGCTTTTCTCATGAACTAAAACTTTTTTTCAAACTATCTTTTTTAATAATTTCTGTAAAAGTGAACATTTGATCAGGAATTGTGTCTTACATGTCTTTCATGTAATTAAAATGAGATCTAAGGCACCTCCCATTCATTCTGACAGCAGCTGGGCTGACCCAAGATGGCCGCCATCTGGGCACGTGGGCCAGCGTCCAAGGATGCGTCTATGTATATAATATCTATGGTTCAGCTGGTAGCCTCTTTAACCTCTGATCCTCTGGAGTCTGAGGAAGATGAAACCGGTTCTAACTGGTTCTCAGCTCTATCTGTGGTTCTAATGGAGGGTGGAGGCAGCTTTGATTCGCGCTCTGCTCCTCTGGTCTCCATGGTAACCTGTGGGCGGTCTCTGTCCTCAGTGTCTGTGGTCGTCTGTACTCGGCTGAAGTCCGTCACCTCTGACCCCGCCTCTCTCTATCTGACCAACACCACCTTCACTCAGGTGTACTGCACAGGTAAGCAGACCGCAGCGTGTGGGTGGGGTTTGTCTCTGTCACCTGACCCCTGTCCTGTCCTCTGATTGGCTGGCCGGCAGGCCTGGGCCACCACTCCCAGATGAGCTACCGTAAGCTGCAGAAGGTCCGAGGCTTCCTGCGGTGGCTGAGGAGTCAGGACGACCAGCAGGTGATGAGCAGGGCTCTGATTGGAGGATTCTTCACCTACCCGCCTCCTGCCGTCTCCTTGGAAACGTTCATGAAGGAGAGGAGGGGTGAGCTGAGCTTCCTGCAGGGGGCGGAGCTTCAGACGGAGCTGGAGAGGCTCTGTTACCGCGAGCGACGCACCTTCTGCCTTCAGGCCACCGTTTCCATGGTGACCTACAGAGGAGAGGTGAGGTCAGACCCGTTGACCCGAACCGGGCAGGTAAAGACAGGAGCTGAAGTGGTTCTGATGTCCCTCAGGAGGACCGCTGTCTCTTCTGGACCAACAGACCTTCCTCCTCCTCCTCCTCCTCTCCCGCCTCCTTCAGAACTCCCTCCTCCTCCTTCTCTCCCACCTCCCCGTCCTCGGCTGCCAGTCTGTCCACCCCTCGTCCTTCAGACCTCCGCTCGCCACGGTGAGTCCTATGTCTGACGTCGGCAGGCGTCTCTGCGGACGCCTGGACTCATGTCTCGGTATTGGTCCCTGCAGGACGTCCAGGAAGAGGAGGAGGCTCCCCCTGGAGACGCCCAGCAAGAGGTCAGAGTGACGGCGGGGGGAACTGCTGCTCTGTGTCTGTCTGTCTGTCTCTGATTGGTTGCTTGGTCTTTCCAGGCGTCCTCTGCCTTCCGTCCCGCCAGAGGACAACAACAGGACAGGTGAGACGCTCCTGGTTCTGAGCAGGAGGTTCTGATGGCTGGTTGGACTACAGCTCCCATCATCCTCTCTGTCTCTGCAGTCATCCTGTTTGAAGCCTCCATGGAGTTCCTAGAAAACGCCGCTGATGAAGACGAGGAGGAGGATGATGGTGACGACTGTTCGTCCTTCTGCACCGCTCCCCTACCCCCGATGGTCCCAGCTGTCGCCATGGAAACCCTCCCACTGCGCTTCGATTACGATCGCAGGGAGGAGCAGGTGGCTGCCGTATCGATGGGAGGCGGGGCCGGAGCTCAGAGCTTTGGCTCCGCCCCCATGGATTACTACACTGTCAGACTGAAAGGTAGCCCCACGCCGAGGGGGGAGGAGGGGGAGCTGTGTCTCAGGGTTGTCATGGTTACCTGTGGTTGTCCCCTCAGCTCTGTCAGACGGCGGGCTGGTGGATGCAGTCTTCCTCCCTCACCTCTCCTCCTCCCTGCTCCGTCACGCCAACACCTGGACCTCCATCCTGTCCCACGGAGCCTTCTCTCCACACACACCGCCGCCGACTCCAGGTGAGTGCAGATGCAGATCCTCCGTTCATGACCGTCACCGAGGATGACGCCGCTCCTCTGATCTGTCCCTCAGCTGACCTCATCGCCATGGCGCCGCAGCTGGCCAATCAGAGGCTGGTCTGCGTCCTGGAGGCGTGTCACCTGGGCGGAGCCAAGACAGAGCTGGTCCTGACTCGAGGCTTCCACCTGAAGGACTAATTTATTTATTTATTATTTTATTTATTTAGTTGAAGGAGCTCATTTCCTGCTGAAGAACAGAACCTGAACCAGAACCTGAAGTCC